CTCTCCTTTCTCTGTAGCTTCCTTCCTTCCTTCTGCTGTAACTTCCTATCTTCCTTCCTTCCTCTGTATCCTCCTTTCTTCTGCTGTAACTTCCTTCCTTTCTTCCTTCCTTCTGATGTAACTTCCTTCCTTCCTCTCTATCCTCCTTCCTTCTGCTGTGACTTCCTTCCTTCCTCTGAAACTTCCTTCCTTTCTTCCTTCTGCTGTAACTTCTTTCTTCCTTCCTTCCACTGTAATTTCCTTTCTTCCTTCTGCTGTAACTTCCTTTCTTCCTTTCTTCCTTCCTTCCTCTGTATCCTCCTTCCTTCTGATGTAACTTCCTTCCTTCCTTTCTTCTGCTGTAACTTCCTTCCTTCCTCTCTATCCTCCTTCCTTCTGCTGTAACTTCTTTCCTTCCTTCCTTCCTTCCTTCCTCTGAAACTTCCTTCCTTTCTTCCTTCCTTCTGCTGTAACTTCTTTCCTTCCTTCCTTCCACTGTAACTTCCTTACTTCCTTTCTTCCTTTTTTCCTTCCTTCCTCTGTAACCTCCTTCCTTTCTTTGTAACTTCCTTCCTTCCCCAAGATGTGACCTCCAACTAAAAGGTGGACAAGATAAGACACCAGGCCACATAGCTACTGCTCCCTAGTCATTAGTGACACCTTCTCTGTCTGTTGCTAGCTTAGCCCAATTTTAGCAAGAAAACCGGTTTATGTTTCGGAAGTGCATATTCACTCTGGATTAAAACGACCTTCCTGATGGGGTTTTGTTCTGGTCTTTTTTTTAAAAAATACTTATTTTTTTTTAATCTTCTCTTCTTTTCTTCTGCTTCAGACAATCCATCATCTGAAAAACCTGAGGAAGGGTCAGCGAAGGTCTTCGGTGCTTATCACTCATGCGGAAGACTTACCCAACCAGTTGGGAGTCCATGAAGTGCAGCGCCATATCTCTCACCATGCTAATGCGCTCTGCCATTTCCACATAGCTGCAAGCATTAACCCCAACACTGGTGAATTCTGTATTTGTATTTTCTGCCTATCCTACAAAGTAGATGTCGGGTTTCCAAGTGTTGAAATCCATTTAAAAAGAAAAGAACAAAGTCCATCTTCCAAGACAATTTCTTTTATTTTTAGGAAAGCATCAAATTGACAAAGTCCGCGGTAATCCTGGATCTGATACAACCCGGAATTACCCCCACAATATTAGAAGTTAGAAGCAACCCCCCAAAGTCACGTTCTCCAATAGAAGTAGTTCAACGTTGCTTGATATCATAAATCTCCACCTCAAGGGGCCTAAGCATGGACAGCTCGTTTTCCCACGGGAAGAAGAATCACCTAGCCTAAACAACTCTCTCTATCTCCACTCCTCCCCCTTTAAGAATGTAGCTAGCCTGAAACCCTTCCCCCATAACTGCCAAAGTAAGAAAAAGAATATATACTAAGCCTAACTAAAATGGCTACATGTAGGTCAGTTTCGGGTTTGACAGTAGAAGCTTGTCAATCTTTTCTCTATACTCTATGTACGCTAAGCAGAAGAATTTAGCTTTCTCTACAGTATAAGATCAGGCTTGGTGGTGCTTCAGACTTTGCAATGGACTTTTAAATTTAGTACCAGCTCTTAGACTTATATAGAGTGGTGCGGTGGCCTAGAAATGGAGCTGTCACCTCGCAATCGGGAGGCTGTGAGTTCGATCCTAGGTAGAGGCAGATATTTCTCTCTCTGGGCACAATGAGAATATATCTGCTGAATATAACTCCACATTGGTGACAGGAAGGGCATCTGGCCAGGAAACACTCAGCTCCATTCAGTTGCCCAGACTTCACCCCGCAAGGGGTTATGGGATTGTTAAAAGGGGATGATGAATAGTACTTAGATTTATATATCATAGTGTTTTACAGCCCTCTCTAAGCGGTTTACTGAGTCCGCGTATTTCCTCCAACAATCTGGGTCCTTGTTTTACCAGCCTTGGAAGGATGGAAGGCGGAGTCAACCTTAAGCCAGTCAGGATTGAACTTCTGGCGGTGGGCAGAGGTTGCATGCAGTGCGGCATTCTAACACTGCGCCACCGGGGCTCTTAATTTATACAAATGTATTTGTTTTACTTATAACACTTATTAGTCGCCCATTTTGCCACATGGTAACTCTGTGCAGCTTATGGCCTTAAAAGATAAAATTGTATAGTTTATAATAATATGGATATAAATTCTTTCTCCTGTCTTGTATAATTTCCTCAGCGTCTCAACCGACCGTCTTTAGTTATTATTTGCAAATTGCGGTTTAGCAGTAGCTTCTGCTTTTAGACTTGGAGTGCAGAGCAAACTCTTAGCAGGATGACTTTAAAAAAATTGCAGAAGGAAAAAAAAAGAACAAGAGGAACAGGGAGCGAGGTGGAGAATATTACTCAAACACATGCACTTTCTCTCTTTGCTGCTTCTGTCATTTTGCAAATAAATATATGTGTAGGCTTCCCCTACCTAGATGTCTTATATACACCCAGTTTCAATAACTAGTGACCGAGGACAATAGTTGCAGATGTTGAATTTGATAGCTTGTGTTAATTTCCTCTTAAAAGCAGGTTTGGCACTGGGGAAATGGTTGATAACTGTTCCGAGCTGTTGTAACATCCTTGTAAGGAAACCCATTTCCCAAGTGCCTAAAAACATGCAATAACTTCGTAAAAGTCTAAATCAATCTGGGTTTTTTTCCACCCCAAACTGTCCCTTCTTCAGATATTCCGCCGGCTTTGGTGAAGACTGCTTTTAATTTCGACGAAGGCAGTGAAGGCTTTGTGGTTCATTGGCTAAATAATAAGGAATTCCATTTTACATCCTCCACGGAAATATTTATGCAGCACTTACGAGAACTGGCAGATCAGCAGATGAAAGGAGCGGAAGAAGATGTGTTTGAAAGGAGAGGCGAAGGGAAAGAGAGAGGCTTGCTCATGAAACTTGATCATGGTTAGTTGCAGATTTGTCTCTTTTCCTCAACCACCCGAGTTAGTTGTAGCTGAGGATGAAGATGGTTACACTTGACTAACAATATTGCTTTGACTTCTAGTCCTTGACACGGTTCATTTGGTTCAGTAGTGGGATTAAAACATTTTTTACTACCAGTGGGCGTGGTGTGTCTTAGTGGGTGTGGCTTGGTGGGTGTGACAGGGGGAGAATACTGTAAAATCTTCATTACCACCCCATTCCTGGGGGAAGCTTATTGCAAAATCCCCATTCCCTCCCCACCCCACTAACCTGCTTTTCAGCTCCGTCCTCCTGCGCAGGGCAACCAAAAAAGACCCAGCCAATCAGCTGGGACTCAGGAGGCAGAGAATAGATGGAGGCAGGGCCAGTCAGAGGTGGGATTTGCCAGGTCTCAAAACTTCTGCTACCGGTTCTCCAGAACTGGTCAGAACCTGCTGAATACCACCTCTGATCTGGTTGTACATGTAGTCCTTGACATGGTTCATTTCGTAACCGTTCAAAGTTTACAACAGCTCGGACAAAAGTGCTTCGTGATTGTTTTTCACACTCAAGACCATCTCTATGGTCATGTGATTGAAATTCAGACGCCGGACAATAGAATCATATTTATGACGGTTGCCGTGTCACATGGTCAGCTTTTGTAACCTGGCAAGCAAAGTTCAATGAGGAAGACAAATTCACTCAACAATGAGGTTACTAACTTAAGAACTGTAACGATTGTGGCAAGAAAGGTCATAGCAACCGAAATTTGGGGCTCAATCGGGATTGTAAGTTGAAGACCACATGAAGTGAGAAATGTTTAATAAGTATTCAGATTTCCTGACCTTGGTGCACTTTTATGATCAACCAACTCAAGTTCTCGCAAGTCAATGAAATAATTAGGCAAAATTGTCCTTGTTTCTATATATTCCCTCCCAGAAGCTTCTATTAAACCTTTTTCGTAGCAATTCGTTCTCAGTCCTCAGAATAGGAAATGCTGAATGAGGGTAGTCTGGTATTTTGTATCCCACTTCCTTTCTTTTTCGTTGTTCGCAACGCAACATCAGGCAACACAACGGCTCCTGATCTTTTGATCTTTTCTTCTAGAGTTGTCTCTGGACAGAGAGTCCGAAACGGGGACTGGCTCCTCAGATCATGAGGATGGAGAAAAGGAGGGAAGTCCCAAAATCCTTTCTCCGGCTGCTTCACCAGTTCCTCTTCCTACCGTCTTGCTTGACCGGAAGATTGAAATTCTGCTTAAAGAATGGAACCAAAATCCAGATATGCTCTTCACCATTCACCCCGTGGATGGGACCTTTTTAGTGTGGCACGTGAAACATCTAGACGAATACAGCCCAGGCATCTTTCGGCAAGTCCAGGTAGATGCATCTTCCAAGCCCTTCGTTCCTCTACTCAGAGAAGAGGAAGGGAGTATTAAAACCCGTGGTCTACTCTTTGATGTCCACTTGCCCGCAGATGCTATTTACTGATTTTTTTTTTCTAAGTGCAGGTTAAAAGCAATGATGCATTGAACGGCCGCCTCTAGTTTTGCCCTAGCATTTAACAATTCATAGGATTTTTTAAAAATACGATTCACAGGAAAGAGGTGGTTGGGTTTGATGTTGAGGGTTGTTCTTTCTTTAAAAAAAGAGGGTATTTCTTCTTTCTAGACTCGAAGACAGTTTTTTTTTTCCCCTGGGCCATCACTTTGCTGGACGCTTCATTGCCCCAACACTGTCTTAGGCCTAAGAAATTTACTCATGTAGTAGGCTGTATTGCTATTGTCATCTTTCTCACCTTCTCATCTTTGCTACTATCTTCTCCTGTTGGTGTCTGATGATTTATCATTTGTTGTTTGTATCTTATGATGAATGATCGTAACTATGATTTATGATCTAGAACCTCGTTGTTGTATGTTGTTACGCTGAGAGCTTATGCACCGGAGACAAATTCTTTGTGTGTTCAGTCATACTTGACCAATAAAGAATTATCTTCTCTCCTCTCCTCTCCCTATTCCTCTTCTATCTTGTTCTGATAATGTGTGGAAGCAAACATTGGATAGAAAATTGTCCCACAATGTCAAAGTTTGCCTTGTACCTTGAAAAAAAACAGTTGGATTTGACTAGCCCCGTGCGATATGCCCAACACTGAACCAAATTTGCACTGGCCGTGGTACATATGCAGACACCCACTATAAGTGAGACAAAATACCATCGCCAAATTGTGATTTGGGGCCAAAAAACAAACTATCCAACCTATAGAGGCAGAGTGCCAAAACAGAGCCTATTATAGAGATTTCCTGGGTATGCAAGTGAAGCAAAAATTTATATATGTAATCTAGACATAGGTTTATAATATTTTAGACTAGCTGGATACCTGTGCTTCACTACGAAACTATGTGATTGGGGTTAGTTTTGGTGGAGGAAAATAAGGGGGGAAATCTGCCTCTGCCTACTAGCATCCATTGGTATTCATCTGGCTAGCCTCCTGTCGGTGTGTGAGAGAGTTGAGGGCTGTTTGGAAACTGAAACAGTATTCGCTGTGTGAGCAAGAAGGAGACAGCAAGGAGCCTGGGCGTGGTTTAGCTCAACTGTTCTATACTAAAGCTGCTTGGTGCTCTGAAACTGAAACTAAAACCGAAACTGAAACTTCTCTCCTCTGCTTGTGTTTTGCATTTGGAAGAGATTTCTTTTCAGTGGGGAGGGGGAGTAGAACTCCTTAGCATCAGAGCATATTAATAATAATAACATAGGAAATACTAATGCTCTGATGGTCATTTCAAAAAATCCTTTTTTAGCGAGCACCTAGAAGCCAAGAGGAAGATACGTGCCAAATTAAAAGTCTGTAGGCTTTACAGTTCTGGAGATTTTGTGATGATGCGTGAGTGATATTTCACTTTTATATAGATAGATAGATAGATTTTGCAGTTTGTATTTTTAATCTCCTTTTGTTTTCATCGAAATGTGATGCAAATGCACCATGCGATAAATAAAACAGGTAAATTTCCTTCCTCTTCTTTCTAGGTATCCTTTTCTTCTCAGATTCCCGTGGCCTTCCCGTCAGGCGACGCCAGTTCCCTCAGTAAACATATCATGATGTATGCCTGCCCAACCTTCTCGAAGGAAAGCAGTGGTGTCCCAGCGTGGAAAAGAACTAGCATTTCGGACAGCCTTTCTGGAAGTAGACCCAGCAAATTCCAGGATCAGTCCAGTGGAAACCTGTCCGCTCCCACCGTCATGATGATCTCCAAACACATCGACGGCTCTTTAAACCAGTGGGCCGTTTCTTTCGCGGACAAATCCACCTTTACCACGGTCCACACCGTAACTCACAAGTTTCGGTACTGCGGCCATCGGTTCCACCTCAATGACCTGGCTTGCCATTCGGTGCTCCCACTGCTGCTGACCTCGTCCCACCACAACGCTCTTCTGACTCCCGAGGTTGATGCCCCGTGGGATTTGGAAGGACCGAGTAAATCGGCAGATCCCGTGCGTCCCACTCTGAGGACCCCCGCCAAGCAGCACCTTCAAAATGCAGCCACCCGTACGTTCTACAACCCGGATGCGATCTACAGTGAGCTGATCCTTTGGCGAGTGGATCCCATTGGGCCTTTGTCCTACACGGGAGGAGTATCGGAACTGGCACGCATTAATTCTCTCCATACTTCTGCTTTCTCGAACGTGGCCTGGCTCCCAACTCTTATCCCTAGCTATTGTCTAGGTCAGTACGATAATCTCATCTCTCCCTACATAGGAAGTAAGGCTGTTCATTCTCCCTTTGTCACATGCAAGTAACCAAGAACGGGAGTTGAGTGCAAAGCTCTAAAAGTTTATTAGATACAGATTAACAGAGTTGGGAGGGATCTTATAGGTCATCTAGTCCAACCCCCTGCCCGAGCAGGAAACCCTACACCATTTCTGACAAATGCAGTCCAATCTCTTCTTTAAAGCCTCCAGTGATGACGCTCCCACAACTTCCGAAGACAACTTCACTTCATTGGTTGATTGCTCTCACTGTCAGAAAGTTCTCCTTATTTCCAGGTTGAATCTCTCCAGTTTCCATCCATTATTCCTTGTCTGGCCTTCAGGTGCCCCCGCTCAAGCACCTTATAGGTCATCTAGTTCAACCCCCTGCCCAAGTAGGAGACCCTACACCATTTCTGACAAATGGCAGTCCAGTCTGTTCTTGAAAGTCTCAAGTGATGAAGCTCCCACAACTCCCGAAGACAACTTCACTTCATTGGTTGATTGTTCTCACTGTCAGAAAGTTTATCCTTATTTCCAGGTTGAATCTCTCCTTGTTCAGTTTCCATCCATTATTTCTTGTCTGGCCTTCAGGTGCTTTAGAAAATAGATTGACCCCTTCCTCTCTGTGGCATCCCCTCAAATATTGGAAGACTGCTATCATGTCTCCCCTGGTCCTTCACCTTACATGGTACCGGTACTTCTACACCAGAATCTGATCTAGTAACAGTCATGCCAAATTGGTGCTTAAATAAAGATCAGCCGAATTTATGAAGGGTTGAGGTGTCATGTAGCTTCATAAGGACTACAAGCTGATGATGTGTTTAACTCTGCCCTTGAGCCCAGCCTTCTCCTTTCCTACACCCAGTGGAACGACTTGCCTTCAGAAGTTGCGGGTGCTCCAACCCTGGAGGGTTTTTAAGAAGGGATTAGGCAAGCATTTGTCTGAAATGTTACAGGGTTTCTTGCCTGAGTAAGGGTTGGACTAGAAGACCTCCAACTTTGTTATTCTGTTACAAAGTCCTAAACTGTATATGTAGAAGAGAGATTAACATGCTAGTTGTACAACTGTCAGCTCTCCTGGATAAACCAGACAGGAAATACGACCTGATAAGCTAAATCTGATTTATTGTAAGGCTACAATAGAATCTTGCAGGTCTAAAAGTACAAAACTTCCCACTGCTACTTTGAACTCCTTAATATATCACAGCAGGTCCTTCCTAAGTTTCTTCTTCTAACTTTAAACTGTGGGAACTCCTCACTCTCTTCTCTATTTTTTTCCTAGACCTTTCCTCTCTTTTCATTCTCATATTCCATGACAACAGTCCTTGAAGGTTTCAAATGCTGGAGCTGACATACCCTTGTTTTTATTTTCTCTAAAACCAGATGTTTGATTTTTGGTTTTTTTTTTTTTTATTGCAAGGAGGGAAAAGGCTGCTATCCTTTTGCAATTAGATCTTTGGGGGTTTTCACTTTCCACAGGGTAGGAAATAACCAACAGCTTGTCTAATAATAATCATTGAACTGCACGGCTCTTACTCGACGCTAACTTGTTCTTGAATTAGGGACATACTGCAATTCGGCCAGCGCCTGCTTCGTGGCGTCCGACGGGAAGAACTTGAGGCTGTATCAAGCTGTGGTCGATGCTCGGAAGCTGTTAGATGAACTCAGTGATCCCGGAGCCTCTGTAAGTTTCATGGGCTGATTTGATTTGATATGACTTGACTTCGACTCTCTAGTCTCTATTCTACTCTACTGTATAGCACAGGTAGCTCTCGACTTATAACCGTACTTGAAACCAGAATTTCTGTTGCTAAGCAAGGCAGCAGTTACGTGAGAGGGGCCCAATTTTCCAGACTTTTTTTTAACCACGGTTGTTAAGTGAATCGTGGCAGTTGTTAAGTCAATCACAGGATCGTTGCCCAAAATCCGGCTCTCCCCTGTTGACTTCACTTGTCGGAAGCCCGCTGAGAAGGTCACAAATAGAGATCATTGTAATCCCAGGGTTGCTGCAACCCTCATAAACAAATCATGGCTGCCGCATCTAATTTTGATCACGTGACAATGAGGCTGCTGTGGCATCTTAAGTGTGAGGACTGGTTTTAAGCAGGGGTGGGCCGCTGGGGGTTCGCAGAGGTTTGGGAGAGCCCCTAGCTAAGATTCTGGGCAGTTCGGAGCAACCCCCAAATCCCACTCCCGGCTGACCACTCCACTCCACCCTACATGACCCGTTTTGGATGCAGGTTAAGTGCAGGGCGCGGGAGGGCAAAAAGCAACCTCCCAGAAGTTTAAGAAGGCCGGAAATGGGCCTGTTTCTGGCTTCTAGAGAGCCTCCAGAGCCCGGGGAGGCCATTTTCGCCCTCTCCCGGAGATTCGAGGAAAGCCTCCAGAGCCCAGGAAGGGCAAAAATGCTCCCCTCCCCTCAGCCATGGTGCAGGAGGCTGATTAGGCCACGCCCACCATGGCCACGCCCACCCAGCAACTAGGCAGAAAACCCTTTGCTAAAATTTTTGAAGCCCACCCCTGGTTTTAAGTCACCTTCCTCAATGTTGTAATGTCAACCGATGGTTCAACGGATGGTTTTAAGTCGAGGGGTACCTGTATCCTACTCAGCTCTGCTTTATTTTACTCCCAATGTAGATTCAGACTTGAAGCTGTTGTTTACCAATATTATTTAAAGTATTTGACGGTGCTGGCTTTGCTCATGTTTCCTGTTTTAGAAACTGATCGGAGAAGTGTTCAACATTGTAAGCCAGCAGTCCACAGCTCGGCCAGGATGCATTATTGAGCTGGATGTCATAACTGACCAGGTAAATCACTTACCTATTTGTAGCGTAGACAACAAATCTTAAGTTTTACTTCTTAAGATTCTAGAGGTACCTGACAGCCAGTATTAGAAGCAATTAAATAGCAATAGCTCTTGTATACCGCTCCGTAGCTTTTTACAGTACTTTCTGGGTGGTTTACAATGTCAGCATATGATCCCCAACAATCTCATTTTACTGACCTTGGAAGGATGGAAGCTGAGTCAACCTTGAGACAGTCAGGATCGAACTGCTGGCAGTGGGTAGAGTTAGCCTTCAGTACTGCATTCTAACCACAGCACCACCAAGTTCTCCATGAATCTGTTCGCCTACCACCCCTTTTAAAACCATCTAAATTGGTACCTAATCATTCGTGTTATTACAGCTGCAAGATTATTAATTGCCCAAACATGGAAGTTAAAAGGAATACCGAACATTTAGTCAGTAATAGAAAAATTTTTTCAGTGCACTCAGCTAGATAGTATGACATTAGAATTGAAGGAGCTAGACACTTCAGAATTGTATGCGGTATGGGAAAAATGTTATGTATGGAGGGATATGAAAGGAAATCTAGAAAATGTGAACTAGAATTTAAGAAGAGATTGTATTGCTACATAATGTCTAAGATAGTAATCGATACAAAGAGCAAATGTAAATATGTATATAGCTGTATATAAATATTTTTGTATTGTTTGATGATATTTTGTTCATATAACAATGTAAAGACTGAGATATATGTCAAAAAGACCACCACGTTCAAGCTTAATTTCAATAAAAAGTATTTAATTTTTTTAAAAATCCATCTTAATTGGTGACCATCCTTAGATCCAAGGACAGAAACTTAGATGGCTCAACTACGCAAAATGTAAAGAAATGTCTGCCTTTTATTTGCCCTGAATCTTCTCATAGTAATTGTAAGGGGTGCTTCAAGAAGAAACAAACAGTAAAATATCTTGGTATAAAGATATTCTGCAATTTGTTCCTTTTTCATACCTTGGGGAATTCCATTACCTGAGCATGAAAGTGTTAAATGATAATCCCTTTTCAAAAGGCAACTGAACTTGTTTTTCCTTGATGGTGTTTCTCTTCTCATCTAAGAGGCTTCTTCAGTTTTGACTGAAGAAGCTTCTTGGATCAGAAATAAAGAAGCTTCTTGGATGAGAAGCGAAACGTCTTCAAGGAAAAACAAAGAAAGTCCAGTTGCCTTTTGAAAAAGCATCTTTGGGACAACCATGATCTGGGTGACTGAGAATCTCCATTGACATGTTAAATCAGGGGTCTTCAAACTTGGCAGCTTTAAGACTTGTGGACTTCCACTCCCAGAATTCCTCCTGCAGTCATGTTAGCTCAGGAATTCTGGGAGTGGAAGTCCACAAGTCTTAAAGCTGCCAAGTTTGAAGAGCCTTGTGTTCAATGATAGACTGACTTATTTGTGTAAAGCTCATATGCCAAAATGCCTAATACCTTGAATAGCACTGTAAATAATTACTTGGAAAGTTCTAATTTGCTTATATTTTCTTGACTCTGCTTCCAGTGTGGGTCCAACACACAATTACTTCATGTCTTTCAAGAAGATTTCATTTTGGGGTACAAGCTGAAGAAGGAAGAGGTGGAGCGGAAGGAAACGGAGATATTTTTCCAACCTTCTACAGGTCTTGTGATGCTTTTTGTAAGCTAATTGTATCTGTAAACCTGGCTTTTCAGAATGATGGGGTTTATACATAATGCTAAAGTGAGCAGAGTGGTGGTCTAGAGGTAAAGTTCTCACCTCACAATCAGAAGGCAGCGAGTTCAATCCTAGGTAGTGGTAGATATTTCTCTCTCTGGGCACAAAGAGAAAATATATTTGCTGTGAGCTCCATGTAGGCATCAGGAAGGGCATCTGGCCAGTAAATGCTCAGCTCCATTCAGTAACAGATTCCACCCTGATGCAAGAGATTGCAGGGTCTTTAAAAGAAAATATATATATACAATGCTAAACTCTAATCTGGTTTCCAGTCTGTGGCTTGATATGAGGTGTGAAGACTAGCAATCTGATGGAAGCATTATATGAGATTTAATGATGACCGATTAAAAAAAAATGGCTGTCCAACCAACTGCTGAGCCGTTGTAATGAAGGAAAGGAGAATGAGGATTTGGAACTTGGTTATGGATCAAAGTCTCATTCAGTCATGAAATACATGACATGGTTGGTTGGGTAGGGTTGCAATCTCAGATGAATCTCTACTCTAGAATAGAATAGAATACCTTTATTGTCACTGCATTCAAAATACAATGAAATTTGAAAGCTACTCCAACACAGTGCCCCAAACACCACATCACAATCACACTACACAGTATTTAAAAAGTATAATAATAATAATAATAGTTATAGTTTAAAAATGCCACTTTATATATCGAACTAAATTACAAATGTACTGTTTGATTCAAGACAATTATTGCCTTGGAAAAGAAACTGTTTCTCAGTCTATTAGTCCTCATTTTAAGACACCTATAACGTCTCCCTGATGGTAACAATTCGAAATATGAATGGCCAGAATGAGAACCGTCTGTGGAGATTTTTTGTGCGAGTAGAGAGTAGATGTATGTACAGGATGGGAACTGTGTTCTCTTTCATACGCATAACAAAGGCAGCGCAAGCAGGATTTGATTAGACTGCTTTTAGGGGGAGAGTCACCATCTGGCCAAGCCATAATCCAGTAGTTCCTGGTTATTTCAGGTTTCAACCAAGCCAATTTCAGAGAAGTTTAGCAGAGTAAATAGCCACGTGCTTGCCTTCTTTATGATCACTGCAGGCTCAACCAGAGAATGCCCACTACTGTGATGCTCTTGTGAGATAGATAGATAGATAGATAGATAGATAGAGAGAGAGAGAGAGAGAGAGAGAGAGAGAGAGAGAGAGAGAGAGAAGGAAGGATATCTATTCTTGTGAGATGGCACAATGTTTATTTTTTATTGCAATATCAACTGTGCAGTACGTTTTATTTCTCAACAGGCTATCGGCCTCCACCCTTCTCTGAAAAGTTCTATCTAATTGTAATTGAGAAGGACACCAATGGCTGCTCAATTCTTAACATGTGGCATTTGCACCTTAAGTCTGTCCAAGCATGTTTAGGTGAGTGAAGCTCTTGCAGATTAATACAGTTGATTTCATGATCTCTGTAACTGTAGGTGTGTTCACCTGTTTAACCACTTTTATACTGTTTCTGATCTGGAAAAAAAGATCCCTTACCCTGCTGTTAAGTCAGATCAGACTGCTGAAGAGCTCGTAGGCTATAACGGAATGGTCATTAACTCAAGTCAGATTGTACCTGTGCACCTATGGAATTTGATTACCTTGATTGTGATCTTAAGCACATATATCAGGAATAAGTCCCATTGAACATGGTGCATGTCATGCACAGGAAATCAGGAGTCAAAGCGGTTCAAATGCATACATTTATAGCATGCTAAGATACTCTCTACAAGAATCTGAACTATTAACAGTCAGAGCGGGTTGGCGGTAGATAAGAGCTAATGCAATTCAAGGTGAGCTAGACTTAGATGTCTTCTGGGCACAAAAGTATTCAAGACAAATGACATGCTTGATCCTTCCCTCAAGCTTTGCCTCATCATCTCCTACGGTGTGAGGAGGCTTAGTCCTAAACATAGAGATGGAAAGTCCAGAAGCTCATCCCTAAAGTATGTTTGCAGACCGTTAAAAACCCATAACATAAAATGACTTTGTTTTGATCTGTTCACATATGCCTTGAATGTTTAATTTAAAAATAAAATAAAATAAAAACAGTCTGTCTTCATTCCATTAACATGGTTTGTCCGTTATGCTTCTTGAAAGGATCCTCTGTTGATGTTCATTCGTTGGGACACCAGTTAACTGTTCCTGGGCAGCCAATGGCTGATTCTTCTCCAGAAACTTCACCTGGCACCATGCCGATGCTGCGTTCTTCATCGGTGGCTAACCTTCAGACGGCTAGTAAACTTATACTGAGCTCCAGCCTGGTTTACAGTTGCCCCTTGGATCTGCCCCCTGGGGTGGAGGTGGTACGAGCTACTCCTTCTGCAGGTAAAATAGGAGGCTGGACAAACTAATTAGTGATACCCTTTGTGGATGGGCCCTTGTTATTACTAGCAAATTATGCAAATAGATTGGGAGCCATCCCAAGTTTATTATAAAATGAGGGGGGTATATAAATGTTTTAAATGAATACATTTAGCCATTTATATATAAAATAACTATATAAACTTATTGTCAGGTTTCCAAGTCATGAAACCCATTCAAAAAGAAATAAGCAAAGTCCATCTTCCAAAACAAATTTCTTTTATTTAGGTAAGCATCAAATTGGCAACGTCTGTTGTAATTCCGGATCTGACACCAGGATTACACCACATAATATTGGAAATTAGAAACAACCTCCCAAAAGTCACATTCCCCAATAGGAGTAAATCAATGTTGCCTGGTGTCATCAATCTCCACCTCCAGGTCTCAGCAGGGACCTGTCCCCACGGGAAGGGAAGTCACCTAGCCAAAACAATCCTCACTATCTAACCACTCCTCCCACCTTAGGAATGTGGCGAGCCCAAAACCCTCCCCCCTTTACCAGCAAAGAGATAGAAAGAAAAGGAATATATGATTAGAATATAGAGCTAAATAAAATGGCTACACATATGTCAATTTCGGACTCGACACTTATATAGCTACCACTCTGGAGAGATTCCTGTAGAATAGGCACAAAACAATAAAGTAGCT